ATTTTTGTATAGTTGTACCATTTTAAGAAATATTTATGTCGCGATACAGATTTATAAGTACGCTATTGTGATTGATTTAATTGGTTGACTTTTTCGGCTATAAAAACTGACGGTCACAATGTCATCAATACACTGCCGAATTACGCACTAGTCATCTCTTGAAACACCGCAATACAATGTATCATCGCTGTCTATTAATAGTTTTGATCTGTGTCTTTTATTAGACATGACTAACAAGAAGGTAAACCTCTACAATAGTCTTGATTAAACATCAGATAGGGAATCACACAATACATCGTCATCATACATTTTATTCTACAACCACAGCTCCTTCATACATACACAGCATTATTACACATGGTCATAACTCCATGAGACAAAACCACGAGCATTATATAAACAAAACATGTATATATCACTATGATATACCATAGGTTCCCTTGGTTGCGGGTGACATATATCGATATACTTTGATTAGTGACGTTTAAACTACGATTTATACTACAATTATCTGTTTGCGACACAATATTTCAAAGCTGATGACTGGTTGAAGACGTCGTACATACAGTCACGTTACTTGGACCCAATCAATTTGCAGCAACCAACGAATCACTTTTGAAATAACAAGAGTACTAGTCAATTACGCAATTATCGGCCTTGATATTTTGCTTCAGCTTTGGCCTTCTGTCTTGTGACAATTATTTTAATATTGTCTCTCCTATTATCTGGATATTTCAAGAGTATTGTATTCCATATCATTCGTTAGCGTCAAGAGCATTTGCTATTGTAAAACTCGGCGGATTATTGATTCCTTGTCGTGAAGGAGCGATAATAATGATGTATATTCGTAAATTATCAATCAAAGCAGGTTACGGTGCTAATAATGTGTCTATTCTAATGTAAATTATAATTAATGGTGTGGTGAAATTTAGTCAAGTCAATTGAAAGTATTGCGATCACACGGATTATGGAAATACGCGGGCTAATAAATACCGCGTTTGTGGTTTGTGTCATGGAAGCAACGATTAACTTTTCTTTACGGTATTGCTAAGATCTGTAATTGTTTCAAATCACCATCTTTAGTGTTAAGCGTGATGTAAAGTCGGCTGATACTGGTTGTCGAAGCCAGTTAAATATTCTCATAAATAATCTCTTTTACAAAGTAGGACTGTAGATTGCTAGATTGTTAAATAACTTATTGTCATTTGCAGCAGCTAGCCTTTGTAACAAATTGCGTCATTCTCGACATAGTAAACGATATTTAATTATAGACAATAATATTCACAAGAGCATCATAATTATCTCTTGGCCCTTAAATTGCCTAACAATCATAATTGTGTAGAATGAGTGGATGTGCATAACTTTCAATTATATCGACACCGACCGCTTTGACATTATCATCAAAGTTCATAATAATACCCTCTATCGTTGACACATTTATCCAGAGTCCGAGTTACTTTTCGATAATAAAAGCGGACGTCGTCTTACTCAAGCATTTCTCTTGATACAAACAACGTCAATCCTAACACAGCTTGAACATTAAAATAAAAATAACAAGTTATCTGAACAATGAATACAAATTGCTTGTATTATGGTCGAGTTGACAAGTCAAGTACACTGTTAATGTTTATCATACAAGATGGCTTACTCTATTTCCCGCTGCCTTGTGTAGTAATTTGACATAATATTGATAATATAAACTAAAGACATAAATATTTGTTATGACTATTACAGTGATATTTATTTGTATTGATATTTGTTTTAAAAAGGGCAAACACAGCACAGCCACAAGAGACAGTAAGTTTGTTCGATAACATTATATCTATTTGTTGTAGTCATTTAATTGTATCAATATTTTTTTGAAGGCACAACCCCCGCTACGACTCGAGCTGCAAGACCGCGACGGGGCTCGAAAAAACCTACTGCATTGTTGGTGGCCTTGCGGCTCGAGGTGGGTTACGTCATGGCTGACGATTGCTTGCCACAGTTGATCTTAATATTAAGCCAAAAGTGATTAAATATTTAACTTATAATCAAGACATTACTAATCAAAACTTACTGGCTCCTTGTATCGATCGCGGGTTGCTGAATTGAGGAGTCCAATAGAGGCATTGGTTGAGATATTATTTAAAAATACTTTTGTCGAAAAGGCATTATCTTTTAATTTTCATGTAGTCTACGTACCTTGGGGTCCCCGAACCACGGCTCCCCTTCGCCCTGGTCTTCTAGTAGTAGTCGGAGGCAAAAAAGGAGATGCTCCTATTTGAAACAAAAATTTACGTTTAATCGAAATATTACGAATACAGAACTGTGCTATTTGTTGTTTACTTACTTGGGTTTAAAGATGCAGGTTTCTAGGCCGTATCCTACTCATCGAATTAGCTGCTAGGCCATAGTAAGGTTAAAGACCGCTTAGTATCTTGTCAAAAGGTAAAAGCGTAAAGCGCGTTTTTTGTTTACAAGGGGTTTTATCAATGTTTTTTCGTTTTACGCAATATCCGCAATTAAGCCGTAGGTTGTTACGTTATTTTACAATTAACAAGTTTGGCGCGTAAATTTTACAGAAACATAGTTATGTGTTTTTGTGCCAAGTCCGATTTCCTCATGCACAGTATTTATTCTTGCTTAACATTTTCATATGCTCGAATGGGAGCTCTCATTTACGTGAGCGATACGGTACTTTCAACAAAAAAGTTTCCATGTAAATAACCGTAATCCAGTAACAAAGACTTTTATATAATTATGTAATAAACTGCAATGGTAATAAAGGGGTGCTTATTCACGGTAGTATACGGTATTCTGTTTGTTTAATTAATATAATAATGTAATATCAACTAAGTGGTTTACAATTATTAATTCTTGGTCGAGACTGGCCACAAAATTCTTTTTAGTTTGATTGAGAATTTGCACGCGAACATTCCCACAATTGGTTTTAATACTGGGTCATTGACCATAATACCAAATGTGCGTGCTATCGTTGCAGAAGCGTGATTTCTGTGTTACATATACCTCCAGTTAAAATCTTTGTATCTCTGTATAACCTTTCGTGGCTGACTGACTAAATAAGGAATAGCTTAGAAGTACAATAAACTAAAAGAACCGGGCCTGGCCTACTATCAAAATTACATGAACCCTAAACTATGGACGAAGAATATGAAAGTGTTCTGCTTGTTATAAGAGAATGTCTTGGTAAAATAAATGATAATAAAAAATAAAACAACCAGTTGATACACAAATAATGCAACTCGGATCGATGCGATTGTTTTTAACGAATATTTATCAACGCCTCACAATTTCTAGTGTATCGCATTCCCCCACGAACTTCGAGCAGAGGATATCGGTACTATTCAACTTGTTACATGACTAAATCAATCGTTTATGAAATGCTGCTGAAATGATTGCACTTCAATAGAGCACAAGAATGGGGAGATGCGGGCACGTTCTTATGGAAAGGTCGGCTACGCGTATTTGCAAAAGGCAGTAAATGCTTCATTCGACTAGAGGATTCGACGACAGGTTTGATATTATTAAAACAAAGAATCTATTCATTTCTTTTCTGTTATCAACAAGTAACAGCTTCCTTTCTCTTCTTATGGGCACTCGTCTGTTAACAATATCGTCTGTACGTTAAAGGCGAACTGTTCGCTGAATGTCTTCATGATCCTGCAACAAACTCGGTCGAACCAGTCCTCGATTCCTCACGCTACTTCGTACTCCGAATTGAAGATAAAGGTCGCCATGCATTTATCGGAATTGGTTTTCAAGAACGCAGTGAAGCGTTTGATTTCCAAGTTGCCCTTCAAGATCATGTAAAACATGTGAAAGTAGAGAATGAAGCCAAGGAACGGGCGGAGAAGGAAAAAGAAGGAGTTGCGTTACCGAAAATGGATTTCAGTTTGAAAGAAGGAGAGACGATTAGCATTAATATTGGCGGGGTAAGAAGAGTTGGTATTGGAACCAAGTTCTCGAGAAGGGATTTCGTTTTTACTAACAGAACTTGTCGATTTTACTCAGCATCATCCCCCACGGCGATCACGTCCTGCCTCACAGACAAGTTCAAGTTCTGGAGCCGATCGTATGTGCATATAAACTTAATCCTTCCTGCGTCTTAACAGCTCGGGAGCCTACACTCACTATGATATATTGAACTTCAAATTCTTACATCCTTGTAGAATCCATACCATTTCTTCCTCCCCCCCCATCCGCAGCTTCAATGAGACAGAGACTACAAAGAGGTACAATGGATCTTCCCTCAGCTCGTCGTTCGAGGTCACCATCACCAAATGAATTTGGAGAGTTCATGGATGCAAATGAATCTGGATCTTGAAATTCACAACTTGACTGGATGCCAACGGATGATGTTATCACAGAAACTGTAATTAAGGGAATAATGGAAATTTGGCTTGTAAATTCGGCTGGATCGTTTTATGGATTTACGTATTAAGAGAGAATGCCAAGATTTGAATAGATCGTTCAACGTTAGATATCAATGAAAGAATATTAATACCAAAATCGGTCGATCATGGCATTCTTTCACCTGAAAACATGTACAAAACGCACTATTGTATAATCCTCCTCCCCTTCTTTCCTACTGTTAATAAAGACCAAGGATTAAGTTCCTTTTAATTTATTGAATAAGACTTGGTACATAAATTACGAAATAATATAAAGAGTTGGTAAATTCGAATTATACTCTAGACAGTTTTTCTATCTGTAATCACGCGTACAATACACCCAACACCTGCCACTTCTGTAAGCTACAAAAAAAAAGAGCAAAGAACCAAGACATACAAAGTCAATTAATGTAAAGTCTTTTTTCCAACTCCATTTCAAATTTCACCAATCTATACAAATTCTCCTCACCTTGTCGTGCCAATTCAACAGAACCGCCGATTGTCCAGTCTCTGGTGTTGCCATACCTTTATAAATATACTTCATCAGCACCAACTGTTGGTCACTCGACAGGGCTTTCACATGTCCGAGAATGTCGCTAGCTTTGACTGATGATAAGACATCAAGGACGTTTCTTGTGTTTTGTGCCTGTTTGGCAGGAGAAAGAATGAGCAGATAGTTGATAATAAAAAATCATGGAAGAAAAGCAAAGGATCTTTTCTCCCGGAAACTAAGAATTATTGGTACCTTCGCCTCGTCATTGTCAAGCCCATATGGTGGATTATCTAAAGCAATTGATAATGCTGTTGCCGTATCACCTCTTCCGACGAAAAAGCCTGGTGTCACTAATCTTTTCGACTTACACACGTTTTAAATGTAGCCCACACCACCCCTCGTTCCTCGCTGCAGACTCTCACCTAGTCAGGGCATTTCTTACGTCTATTGCTTTACTTTTTACACTTTCCAAAGTCGGACCATTCGCGACCCCATTCGAGAATATAAACAATTCCTCCTTTGATAACAGCTCCTCGTCTAAGGCGTCGACGTCTATTTTACGGAAGGACATTCTGTTTGACTAAATACAAAAAACGTATTGGAAAAGAGAAATGATTTCGACACGGATCTTAATTATTCACGTGATATAATATAGAGATCGGCGGACGAATGCTATTAATAATATTAATTCTTCTAATTAATCAAACAGGGAATTTGATTATTATTGTGATTATGGGGAAACTTATTCTACTGACAGATAAGATAACCGAAGACTTGCGAGGTAAATCTGTGATATGCTCAAAGCCAAAGATTACCCAGCTATGTGTGCAATGGAGTATGTTTTGTCAGTACGGCAGGAGCTTAGCGTGCGTCCTTGACGTGAGACAAAAAGTTGATTACGCGATCATCTTATCGATGGCTACATACCAATTTTTTTTTAAAACGAAGAGAATCTCGTTAACACGAAGTCCGAAATGGATTTTGTACAAAATTAAAAATCATAGTTGGTTGCTTCATATTTGCTTGAAGAAAATCACTCACCCTTTTCAGTTTCTACTAATTCAGTTTCAATGTCTTCATTCACAATAGATCCAATTTTGATAATTAAGTTTTATATTACTTTAATCACTTTTTCAGGACTTGTTATGAGTCTTATTTTTCTCTAGAATTTAGCAGATACAGTCAGACTCCTCTAAATGCATAACTCCTCTAAATACATAAATTTGCCTAGTCCCGAGTTTGGACTTAATCATTATTGCATACAAACGCATATGCAATCGATTTTTATAAATCTCATATAGTATTCTAAATGCATATATCACGTGATGTATTATAGTAGTTTTCCTTGTGCTGTATAATAATGCATGTGCGATTGCAATTTCTCTCACATACTGTAATATTAATTCTAATCTAATCTGTCTTTAACAGCCAGTTTAATGAAAAAAAAAAGCAAAAACGTTTCTTTATTAATACTGCTTAATTGCCCACTTCCTAAATCATTTGCATTCCCTGATTGCAACTCCTATTTCTCGTCTACAACAAAATAATCATTCAAATCTTGAGCTCGTAGGCACCATTCTAGTAGTGCTTCCTCAAGTTCTGGACATTTTACAGTTCGGACACGTTTCTGGAGGGGCTTATGCAATTCGTCTATATCCAAGAACTCACTTGATCGTTTTAGCAATCGAGATATTGTCGTTTGATCGACTTTCACTTTAACGTCTGTTTACACCATTCAACAAGGTTATTCTGCTATTTCGTGATGATTAATAGCTATTTCTTTTATCGGTATATATTACATAATTTTTGCCTGCAAACTTTTTGCGCGCAAACTAATAATCGATGTTTCACCCAGATTACAACCCCATTATATCAAAGCTTCCAAAAAGTCTGGTTAAGAGAGCATATTATAGACCTTTACATCACTCTAGGTCACCAGAACAAATTGTGATCGAATTGAGACTTATTTGTACCATACATTAGAGGTATATAAAAAAGTATTAAATAAAAAGCGTAAAAACAAATTAAATTATGGAACCACTTGAAAATTTATCGTATTATATAGACATGGCTAACCAAGAATCCCAAACTTTAAATACTGTCCCGATTTGTACACGTGATCATCAGGAGGAAATCAATCGTCTAGTTCAGAAAGAGCTGGGTATTTTATGTCGACGATTACTTGGATATAACGATAAAACTTTATGCAAAAGATTATTATAAAGCATGAGAAACATGTCAAAGCAGCTAATAAAAAATTACAATACGAGGTTGAAGAAAAGAAGATACAATTGCAAGAGGCAGAAAAATTTCTCATATATCTGAAATCCTGCTCTACTCATTAGAAAAATTTAAGGCTGTACCCAACCAATTTCGTATACGTAGAGGATCATCTATTGCCTTAGTAAAATCAAAGATTACACAAAATCTCTAGCAAATGCTTATCAATAATCTTAGATGCTTTTTTTGGATCATCTGTATATTGTCGTACGATTCTGCAAATATCGTCCCGGCTTCCGCAGGTTCAATGGTGTGTCAAACCTTAGCCGAATTGCAAGAGGATCATCCAAATACAATAAACTCACCTTTGTGCAGATAGCTATTAATGATCAACGATGCATTTTTTATATCATCAGTATATCGGCCAATAATATTGGAGATGGCAGAGATTCTAAAAGTGATCAGCGTGTTCGGCACGACGCGTTACCTAACATCGGTATAAAAAAATTTTTCGTTTTGCAAATTACATACATATCAGATATCGAATATTATTTATTCAGGTGGGTGAATAGCCTATTTCCTTCTCTTTATAAGCCATAGCTTTTGTTAGCAAGAATGAAGCGCCTGCGACAGAGAGAAACTGTCGGAAGCAAGCAATTGCGAGTCGTCATCAAGCGACGGCCGGCTGATTTCATTGCACAGAGTTTATGGGGTTTGTTTAACACAAAAGGCGCCTGTGGCAGAGAGAAACTGTCAGAAGCCAGCAATGGCGAGTCACCATCAAGCGCGGTGGCCGGCCTTATGTGAAAAACAAACCACTTTGCTGAATACTTAATTTACTTTGTTTATCAAAATACTCACAATTTCTTTCTATCCTTTTACTATCAAATAATGAAATCCTCCTCGTGCAAGTTAAATCGGCAAGAAGTCAACATTAATTGGATGTTAGCTTGCCCCGATCCAACTCCAATCGCGTTTTTTCGATATATATGTCCAGCACATCGAAATAAGCAACTGATAAATATCGACAAACTCTTGACCTGGTCTCGAATATTGCTGACAATCAGGAGCTTCGGGATAAACTAAAAATAATGAAAAAAACGGTGGATGTATGTAATTGAGAGTATGTTTGTTATGTTATAAAGTACTGATCCCTTTTTTGATAGGATGCAAGGATTTACGTGATTGGGAAACATGGTTGCAGGAGAAGACAGCGGTATGTTCAGCTGTTGGCTTTTATTTCATATAGTTGGATTTAACATTTACAACAATTTGATATAGATTTTAATTCGTCGTGGTGTACGTAATACTAATCTTAATCTTCACGGGGAGATAAATATGTTGGCATTAAACAAGGTAAACTAGGCTTATTTTTCAAAAACAAATTAAAAGGTTTCAATAAATATGCTTAAAACGGTTGGTAATTTTTATTACAGGGTGAGTCTTCAGCAAAAAACACGAACTCCAATCCAGATCCAGATGTGAGTGAAGAAGATCAGGAAGAAGAGGAGGGCGTAGATGAGATTGATGAATTCTTTATGGACAAGGGAAATAATGACAAAATTCGCAATGATGACATCAGCGACGATAATGGTAATAATATAAACTTCATAGAACGCATAGAAGAATCCAAGCCAATGTCATCAACTTCTCAGCATCCGTGGATCCTCCGTAGCGGTACAAACGTTGGAGATAAATTGACAAGTTATGTAAAGACAATTCCTGAGGCCCAAAAATGTTTGAAGTAGGTTTATTGATAGATAACATGGACATCGGTGATGATTATTTTTAATTATAGTTTTTTCATAGCTTTGCATATTGGAATATACTTGATTTGACTGAGAATACCCAAATAAAATCTCTTTTCTCGACAAATGACTGGGAGGAAATGGTTGAACGTTTCAATAATGAAGTTAAATTGATCGAATCGGATTTTCTTGATGTGGTAGAGTATTTTTTCGATGAAGTTGAAAAAGTAGGTTAAAAAAAAATATGTGTCTTGTTTCAACACTTTAAAAAATGTTGCTGACTCGAATAATTTAGATTACAAAAAAAGATAATAAAGATATCATCAACGCAATCGATAGATAAACCCCAGAAATTATTGAAACGAATCGAAAAGTAGAGCTTAGCGATGAGGAAAAGAATGTTATTTCCATTTTAAGACGGGCTGTTGTTATGTAGTGAGTGAAACAAAATATAATTATCAAAAACTTTATTTTGTTTTCTTACAGTCAATTCTTGCACATATAGTGCTGAAAATCTGGAAAGAGTTGATCTTCCCGTTTCCGAAGCTGGCTTCGACAACGCATTTCCCAACATGCTTGCAAAAAGATTCTTAAATAGGGAGGAACTAAAGATGGTATGTACGTATAGATAAACAATATGACTAGTCCGATTTTATGTAATCACATTCCATCTACATAATTTTATAGTGGGGAAATTGCATGTTGGGCGTCAGCTTGTCGCCGAAATGAAGGTCGTTCCGTTGTTCTCAGAGCTCGCATTGGACAGAAGTGCGATTTTCGAGGGACTTTGAAAAAGAGTATTAACAGGCTTGAGGCTCTCATAGGTCTCAGAAGCGGTGGACTACCAGAACCTCATCAAAAAAAGATTTGCGAAGACAAAGTTGACCTAAGTGTGGCAATGCGGGATATCTTATATACGTTCTTTAAAGAGAATTCCAAAGCACCTAGCTCTGACATTCATTCCACATTTGTCTTTGGAATACACTCATGGGGTAATTAAGCGGAAGAAACAATTGTAGTAATAGTAACGAAATTGCATCAACTAACGATTTTTCTTTGTTTCTTGTTAAGGATGGGTTCATAATATATATGGGATGGACTGTAAAGCGACGAATATACTACGGCTTGGTGGTATTTCTCATTTAAAGATGCCAAACACCCCCAAAACCCTTTCGGTACTCGAAAGTTTTTATGTACTTTTCAGGGATTTGCAAGTATTATGTGCTTATCATTACTACCATTGATAATGTTTAGAATCTTACTTATTTATATATTCACCTAACTATTTGTGAACACACAAATAGTGTCTCGCTTGCACATTCACGTGCACACAGAAATCGAAAAAGGAAAAATCCAGAACGAGCTGGTGAAAAAGGAGGATCATTTGGAAATCCTTCACAAACCCCAAAAAACAAGAAAGTAGAAAATATGAAGATCATTAGTCGTGAATTATGTGTCAATAATTAGGATATAACAATGTAATTGAGTATCGTAGGAGCATCCTGAAATTGTAACCATTGCAAGCATCAAATTTATCACATGATATACTTACCGAAACAGACTGCACATACACAGTGGGAAACGTGTGTCCAGTACTTAAATTTACGAATAAAGGTATATTTATATTGTGATATGTGCATCGGAATAGTAAACTTTTTACTATTTGTTGTGTTGCATTCATAATTTGTAATAATATCACAAGTTATTAAAACAATAAAAATCAGTTCTTTATGCCTTTGTTTATTCCAGTAATTATTAAAATTTATTGTGCAAGGATGATCCTGTTTGGAAAAAGAGTCACTAAAAATCTGTAAAGGTGTGTTGTGTAGGCATCTCAGCATGTTACAGAATAACAGTCATACTAACATTAAAATTAAGATAAATTCAATTGAAGCTTGGTGTGCCAATGAAGATCCTCAAAACCTCAATTGAAGCTTATTAAAGCTACAATACATTTAATATGGGATATGTCTATATAAAAATAAAATATGAAACTAATTTACATTAAATTGGGGTAGGCTGCAACAAAACTGGTAAACATTGAGACAATAGAGCCTTTTTTGTCATAACGTTTCCCCTCTCAGTACTAGTACCTAAAAATACCAGCAGGCGTATCCCCAGTTCCAAGCACGAGACTACTGTATTGACTGATAATGTACCATATTCAATATTTCTTTCTTTATTTTTAGTTGCTTATTTTTTTAATTCTTCGAAACAATGAACAGATCCCGTTGCAATGTCCGAGCTCCTGACAAGTTTGAATGCATATGTACACCGAGTCATTGGTAAAAATGCCATTTTTCTTGATTTCAGTCAGAAAGAAATTTGAGATCCAAATACTGCTCAGAAGCCGAGTCAGCAGTTATGGGAAAAGTGAGTTCGAAGATAGTTAAACACCATCTTAACACCGAAGCAAACCCACGTATTAATATGCCCAACAACGGCTCCAAGGAATTTGTAGCTTTCACGGGAATGAAGAAACAAGAAAGCCGTTTGATAGCCCGTCTAACAAATAACGATGGTGCCCAGGAGGCAATGCTCCGGAAAAATCGGCGGGCAACTGTTAGAAGAGAAGGAAGGAGACATAACCAAGCGAGGCTGGATAGTAAGTAAGTATTATAGTTTTCGGTAACGTTAAACAAATAATCAGTGATAAGAAATATAGTTTCAATCCAGCTGTCACCACTTGGCATTGAAGACTATCTTAGAAGTCAGCTCGCCACTTGGCCGCAGCGTCATTCCGGCTTTACCTGTTGACCCTTACCACAAAGAGGCCATCCGCCACTTGGCCGCAATGGCATTTGACATGTAAGGTGCGCCAGAGGAACATACCGCCACTTGGCCGCAGGAAGTGACGGAGCTGGAACGTCATCAGTAGTGTAAAGTGTGAAAAAAAGGTTTGAAAAAAGCTGAACTTCGTCGATTCTTGGAAGAACAAAAGGCAGCCGGAAATGTTCTATGGGTGAAAAGTGTCAAGAGAATTTAATCCCATTAGTAAGATGGTTGATGATGTAGAAAGATATCGAAGGAGATCTATGCCCTTAACTTGGAAAGAACACACACACAATACTCGTTTTCTCCCCCGTTGTCTGAGCAGCTCTTGTCAAGGAGTGCTGGCATTCATGCTCCTCTGCCTGTAATAAAGTAGAAGTGAAATTTTGTTCTGATTCATTGTTGTGTCGTCCTGTGAATTAACTGATGCCTGTATGCAAACATCAATGCAAAAGAACGGAGTTGTAAATCCACATCACCTTTCGATGTGCCACCTTTCACTCTTGCTGCTGTACCTTGATCCTGCGCTGCTGCCTCTCGCTTTTCCTATTACATGACAGAAATTCGCATAGGTATAAAGTTGTCGCGTTTTAAAGCGCGTCTACATTTTAAACAGCAGTGACTCCTCATATCTTCCCTCGAGTTGCCATTATCTCTGTTGAGAGAAGCTGTACAAATATCTATGTTGTCTTTGTTGCAACAACTTGGGAACTGTAAAAAGCTGACCAATCCCTAAAAGAAAGCCATGGACAAATGAAAAAAGATAATCTCTAGCATGCGTATGTTTATGTTCACTTGTTTACTATTACGGTTATACAATAGTCCATAAACTCCGACATGGGAACGAATCAGAGGTCGATGACTAGAAACAGTCTAACAAAGCGTTGTGCAACATAAGTCCTTAAACAGTTAGGACGGAATGAATAATCCGGGGAAAATAAAGTGCTCGGGCATCCCCTCCAACCCTTGGTTGTATAACAGAGTTTAACTGACGCCAGTGCATTTTATGCAGGACTTTTGTGTGAGACATATCGACACGCATTGCATTGCAATATTGCGTCAGATTAAAATAAGCTCAACGTTTTTAGTTTATGTTTCACGTAAACCGCACGCATTTTAATCTGAAAAGTTAGCCGTTAAGAGCGTCCGGTTATAATTAGCAAAAGACTAACGAATTTCACGATTGTCTCCATAAAAGCCACATTGCTATCATGTCATACATTAAACTATAATTGTAACGGGTAATTGGAACACTGCTTCTTTGTTCTAAAGTTCGTGCACCATTGCAGTAATGTTTGTTCTTTAATCAGGTTAATTGTTATTGGTTGTTTATCTCCCCAGTCTTCTCCAACAGCGTCAAAAACTATTGTGTAAATAATTTGTAACACGACCAGATGGAGAATCGTCTTGAAGGGAGGCCAATTAAGTAGCTGGCTTATTACTCATGACATTCGGGCCCTGCATTTAGATAATGGCACAAATAAACTATAAACGTCACCCTCAGGGGTTGGTCTCGATTGTTATAACAAGTACATCAATCTCCGTAATAGGAGATGCACGGGCCATTGATGAGCTTGTGCACCTCGTTCGCAATATTGATATAACTTAATAAGGAGCTTTACCAATGTCCCAGATAATGTGACAGATACTTGTGAGTCGAACGATGCTAAAACTAGTAATAATATAATTATTAAACAACATCAGTATGATTTGATCATGCTCCAACTTCAAAAGTGTCGAGCCTATGAAAACAATCGTGGAGAAAAAATAACTTACTCGGTCGAAATTGGACGGTACCCATCAATATTCCTCAAACGTGGGGCAGGAATTGGTAGGAAGTCACTTTCTCGATGGGGTTATTCCCGTCTTGGCTGTATTGGGGTGTTAAACAGGTGTTACTTAACTTAACAGGTGAAATGAGAATTATGTCTCGTTTCAATACCTCGTACCACATACTAACAAAGAAAAGTCATGTGATAGGTTTATCGAAACTCAAAATTACGCCATGTATTCAATGTGTACGGTTTGACTCGGGGTCACATTAATTAATGTATGACCGTTTGTTAGGATTACTGCGGGATAAAAGTGACATAATAGTTACTACGCTGCTAAATTAACATTGTCTTAGTTAACCAATGGTCTTTCGCATAGTGATAGTGTAGCTGCGTTAATGTGAATAAATGATATCATCCAATATTGTGTATGTGCAATATTAGACCTTGTTAAGTAACATTTCAAAGGGCTGTTAATGATTTTTTTTCCTTCCTCGCCTCTAATGTGCAAGCAAACTGGCGAATTATACTTTTTGACTAAATCGACATGTGGCAAAATCCTTTGCAAATTGTACCCCTCGGTATAAAAATGACGCCACGCACGCAAAGGTCATTAATAATATTTAAAGGAGAGTTTCATCACGCTTCATCGAGTTATTATTATTATTACAATACTATGAATAATTGTGTCCAATTGATTGTGGCGAGGCGAGGGACAACTATAGTACAAATTAATGAAATGTAACAACAACACTGTAATTCCCCCATGTTACCGCCACCTCCACCATTATGATTTACTCAATTTGATTAGATTTCCAGAGTTTCACATTGTAAGGTACGTGTTTACCTTTTTTACGGGCGGAAAGGTAGTCAGTATCTTGGGTGATAATTGCGGAAGATATAGAGTTATTATTGCATCAGATTAAAGAGCGTATATTCAACCCTCAGCATCGGCCCGAAGCGCATTGACAGTTAGACTATGTCTTTGTCCATTGTACTAAATATTATGGTACAATATGTGGTGAATTTAAAGCTTGTTTCACAAACAATAATAACAATAAGTGCATGTGCGAAACATGTTGGGATTCACTTGTGCTATGTATAACTAACTTCTACTTCCTTGGCTGGTTTTGCCTTTAATCACATTGCTAGCACAAGAGATGGTAGATGGTAAATATAAATAGCATATCAAGCGTCATAGCACCACTATCAAACTTTTTTTTCTAAAACAGAACAGGGTTTTTCTCTCTTTTATTACCTATCACTACCCTGAGAGTGCTTACCAAAAGTTCATCGCTTTATCACCATGTTTCCATCCACTATCCGTAATCCCAACACATTCTCTTTCGAAGTTTTTCTTGTCCTCCTTCTCATTTTTTCCAATTCTCAAACCGATTCCCATCCAGAACCGCGGGGGGTTGATCATTGCGCATTCGCCTACGAAAACCGTTTTTACGTATTCGGTGGTGGTGTGGCGAACAATGGTAACAATTCCGACTTTAGTTACATCAATACGCCCTTTAATGTATCAGAACCCGCCCAATGGAATTCTCTGCCAATATCTAAGGTTGTCGATCAACCAGCATGCTCTGTTACATCTAATGGTATCCTGTACGTAACCGGCGGAACAGTCCCACACGATAATAAATATGCCGGAATCCAATCGTTTGATTTGAAAAAAGACACTTTGGGCTCTTGGTATACGCCAAACACCAAGGGATTAAATACGAGCCAACATTTGTCGCGACGTGGTCACAAGTCTATTGTTGTACAAACGTCAGAAGGCGAAGAAGTATTGTTTATCTTTGGAGGGTCCGAGTCGAATGATGCGTTTATTCTAAATGTAAAGAGTTCAATTTGGGAGACTATAACTGAAGGGGTGAGTATAGGTTGTAATAAAAAGAATGAGATATTGATAGTTAACTAACCATGAAGTTAGTTTGACATCCAGTTCAGTTATTCTAACATCTTTTTTTTGCTTAATTCATCGTCTAGCCTGACGCTCCACCACCCATGGACATATTCGCCATGACTTTCTCTAAAGATAACATTTATATAATTGGTCCTCTCACGTCTGGCAAGAACCTGTGGGCATTTCACATTCCAAAAAAGATCTGGTTTAATCCGCAGACTACCGTAAATATTCCTGTAAATGCCCGCGTTGAGTATGCAGGAAAACTTAACGATACGATTTACTTGATGGATTCGGGTGATTCGTCATCAATGTGGAAATGGAATTTGGGTGAGTTGGAGAATTGAAAACGTCACAGTTACGCCTCGTGCTAATCCGAATTTCGCGTCAAAAAATAGTTGATAATAGCACAACATTCTTTACGCCACCGGACTATACTGAAGCTGGCTTTCATTATGCGTTGGCACAATTGCCCGGCAGCGATGTTTTTATTGTAAGTTTCTCATACTGAAGCACACGTATGGTCCATAGCTATAGTCTACTTACTCTCTTGCCCATTAACTTTTATTTTCCATTCCCAACGTCCAATTCAAGACCTATGGCGGAAAAACCGGCTCCAAAGCAACTGATAGTTTAGCCGCATTCAACATGACCCAAAATGCTTGGGTTACTCAAGTCAACAAAATCACCAATATACCTAACGATCAGTACCGTGGTGGACTTCTTGCACCTGGTCAGGAAGACCCATTCTCCAAACCACCGCAAAAATCTACTATTAATACAGGAAATAAAACAGATCCGACGAAAATTGGACTAGTTGATATATTGTGTACAGTAGAAAGTGTAATACTAATAATGCTATTTATAGTAATCATAGTTTTGGCCTGGCGTTCGTATAGACGGAGGAAAGATAGGAAAGAGGCGGAGGCGGAGGAGCTGACAATAGTTGATACTTGTGAAGTTTTTGGAAACAACGCTAAAATTTGTTCACAAAGGGAAGACATTGAAACGGGTTGTCATCGAGTCAGTGAACAGACCTATCGACCGCCCAATATTGAAGCGTCCGTAAAATGTAACTCAATTTCATCAAACACCACTGTCCGCACCTCAAACCATACGGTGAAACTGAACTCTACTCCCTCTACTCCATCATCACTTTTAAACGAGCTCCGTATTCTATCTGAAATGGCAATGACAACTACATTCGAATCTTCATCTAGCTCTTTAGTTTCTCCATCAGCTCCAGAGGGTACTATTCTATTTGATCGATACAAGCTCGAGGGAAAACCAAAATTCGATGTCAGCGAATCCGTTCGTTATGCAGAGGACGTGACTGTGAGCGAAGCCGTAGCGGTAAAGTTTTTCTCAGACTACGATTCATTCAATCGCGAGGTTACAATGTTAAAGTTTCTTCGATCGAAATTTGTTGGTGCATTGCGCGATGCATTCCATGTCCCCGATGCTGCTGTTTGGAAGTATGCTATGACTATGGACTATTATTCTATGAGCTTGGATGTCTTTATCCATAGCAGAAAGAATCGTTTGGACGATTTGTACATGAGAATGGTGGTAAAGTCAATAGCACAAGCTATACAGTATGTTCATAACCACGAAATAGTTCATCTTGACATTCATCCGGGAAACTTTGTACACGAGGTTTATGACGTGAACAAGTGGAGATTGATTGATTTCGAGTCGGCGAGGGTCGATGGAAAAGAAGATGTTGGTAGCAGCACGTTACGATATGCTCCGCGTAAGTAATAAAACAGAATGAATAGTTATTACAATACTATCGGGCATTTGAATTCCATAGCATACTGACATTTTCTTTTCTTTTAATTAACATAGCCGAACTAGTCAAAGCCGGTACATGTGGTACTAATATTAAAGCAGATACATCGATGGACATGTGGTCATTTGGGTGTACGATATATGAATTGTGTACTGGAAGTCCTCTATTCTTAGACGATAATGAGGCGACGGCTAGATTATTGGACGCGTATGATACGCAACACTTTGAATTTCCCATTAAAAAGGTACCCGACGTTCAAGCGCAGCACATACTCGAGAACTTGTTGGTCGTTAATCCTATGAAGAGAGTTTCGGTTGAGGAAATTTTAAAAGGAGCATATTTGACTGGTGGTGCTGATAACACTCAGGTATATATATACATACAGATATCATCAGTTCTATTGTCATTGTCGGTTTACCCAACCTCTGCTTACTAACACTCACCTCCCTCATGCTTTCGCATTTGACTTAAAGATATACAATATGCAGTCAGAATCCACCGAGAGAATTATTAATAGCCTGAATAAGAATACAAGTGTTGTTTTTTCTGTACAAGAGGCTATTAATATAATCGGGAATAGTATATCTGATACCAGAGACGCGATCGTGCCCCGATTGTTTATGTTGTTGTCAGAGAAAAAGGCTCACACAGTTTTCAAACCAAAAACGTGGGGAAAGAATACATTCGTACTTCATCTTCTTTGCGAAGGTTACGCTTCTGATAACAGTGAAGCCCATTTTACCGACCATCCTGGCTACATGGTATGTTACGTTTATTCAATGACATATACAGTAAGATACACAAAGCGGTTCTCATTTATTAATGTTATTAACTTTTTTTTTTTCAGATATATAATGCGAGGCCGTTTCTTGCCAAGGCCGGCCCATACCTTTCTATCTTGGTCGATCTTATAGGCTCGGCTGCCGGTTTCTTTACAGGACTGCAATTGCCGGATAGATTAACAGACGCGATCTTCAATATAAGATCCTGCCCTGTAGATTACTTCAAAAAAATAGACGAAACTGATGGGGATTCACTTAATAAGATGAAATATGCGCAGGGCCCTGCATTGCGTGAACTTGAAGCGTTCTTATCTGAAAACGATCCTTTGCGCGAGTATGGTGGATTGCACCGTATTACCATGAGTGATGGACGGTGGAGATGGGTTTGTAATAGTTGCAGAGAAAGGGCGTATCATTCGCATGGGAATCACGGATGCTAGAAAAATTTGTGAGCGGCTATTTAGGTGCAATTTTATTTATTAACGGAATCGATATATTATAATAATTATTGAGTATTAATCATAATAATAGTTGAGATTTTTATTGACATTACAGACTAATCGAACATTCGTAAAAAGGACACTTATATATAGTGCCGTTCTATAGAGTTAAGCAATACATTAGAAAAAATTAATAAATTATATTAGAGCCTTTATTATTATCACCTAGTAATTTATTAACGACTTTAATATCAATTGTTTTAGAAAGAATAATCGTGGCTTGTTTGCTTCCTTATACACGTTCCGTTTATTGTCCTCTGAAAGCCTATGAGGAACCCATATTTTCAAACAGAATGTAATGCCAAGGTTAACAAGTTTTTATTTTTAACAAAACATCCAATGTTTACATATTTTATTGTTATAATCATATCCGGATCGCCGGATTATTTAGTAAAGCTCTTCATGATCCAGAACGAGTATTAGTTTGTTAACCAGAAGATACTTTATTGCAGAGCGAGCGAATACATTTCATTTTGCCTCGATATTTAATAATCGAGAATTTACTACATAACTTCATTACATCAAGTAAAAGTTCGTTATGGTGCTAAATTCACTGTATCGAGTCTTCATTATGTCGAGACTTGACTGTATTAAGACTCAAATATTATTATTGCGTGTTTTGTTTAGTTAAAACTAGCGTTCAAGCAAGGTCGTATTATCGAGAGTTCATTATAACAAAAAATCTTTTTATAACGAAGTTTTTGAAACATCATTATATTGAGATAATTTCTTTTATTAGCAAATTATTTAGATGACTTGGAGTCTAAAGTGCCTTGTTTCTTTACGTTGAGTCAAATTAGGTTAAACTCTTTTTTTAGACATAAATCTCTTTTTTGAACACTAGCAAGTTTTTTACTAATGAGTTTAAACAGCGATATGCCCGTCTTCTCCAGTCTGCTGCTATCCAGGCTATATTCAGAAAATTATCAATCCTTTTATCTTCTGATGATTTAGACTTTACACATATAGGTAATATAGTCAAAGATGAATTGGAGACTCGAGACTGATATTCGTCAGAATTTGAAACATTATTGGATACATCAGATGCCGGAGCATCCTTATTTTGCAAGCCCACCTGTTCAGATGTGTCATCAGAATTTAAAGTGTCATCAGTTATATCAGATATCGGGGTATCACCACAATGTAACACTATCTGTTTGAGAGAATTCGTTAAAATTTACTGGAGAGTGCGAAACATCTTCTGTAGAAATACTTTTTTCTTCTTTTCCCTGTTCTAATATAGCGAGCCTAGTCTCAAGCTCTATATTCTTTTGCTCTAATTCCTCGACTCTAACATTGCGCTTTTCATTCTCCTCGATAATCTGCTTCAGCTTCGCATTCTCCTTTCTAAGCTCAGCAATCTCAGCTATAAGTTTGGAATTCTGTTCTTCCAATGTATCGACTTTGGATTGTGTGTTTGCCATTTTTTTATAAGATACTATTTGTTTAATTTTCGATTTGGAACAAAAAGCGCATTGCCAGGTGCATAAGTATCTTTTCTTGAGCAAGCTTCGGGTCGTCTAAGTTTTATCGAAAGAAATTTCGGGTCATTAAAAATCGAATCGATCTACTGTTACACCATTACACTATCACCATAAGTTCTTCTGAATGCGCCAGTTATCGTTCAATCAAAAAATTCTGGGGGAACTTCACGTGATCGAGTTTTAAATCCCCTGTTTGTGTTTCGAGTAAATACTCGCGTTTATTTGGGCATACACAGTGAACCTGGATATAACGAAGTTTGGATATAACGAAAACCTGGATATAGCGATGCTTTTTTTTTTATGTTTCGAATTTTGTCTAATAAAATTTCCTGGATATAACGAATCCCTCGATATAACGAAGAAAAGTGTCTGCACGGTCTTCTTCGTTATATCCGGTTTCACTGTGTACTACCAATACTATCAAGAACCCTTAACCGTTTTGCGCTTTATTTGAATCTCTTCGAGTGAGGTAGGTTTTATTTTTTTTCTCTTTTCCATAATTTATAACAGCTTTGTTAAGAACAAATGATGCGTCTGCGGTAGACTGTGATCTATCGGAAGCCAGTACTTGGCAAGTCATCGTCCAGGAGATGGCCGGCTGATTTTGAACTACAAAGTTGTTGGGTGTCTATTGGATACACAAGGCGTCTGCGGTAGACTGCGATCTATCGGAAGCCAGTATTTGGCAAGTCATCGTCCAGGAGGTGGCCGGCCGTTGTGTAAACAATAGCACACCTTTTCATTAATTGACTTCGTTTAAACAATTGGCTCATCTCTCTTTTTGTTAATATTTCATGCGTTGAGATTTCGAGTATGAAAAGTTCATCCGCGAAAATACTTAGGCAGTGCCACGTTGATTGGATGATCTCATGTAACAACCCAACCCCTTTAGAATTTTTTCGTTTTATCCAACCAACACATAAGTCCCGTGCATTTGAAAAGTACAGGAAGACTCTTGAGCAGGCTACCAACTTTTGCGAGGACTCAAACAAACAGTTGAAACTAAGAAATCTCAGAGAAACTGTTAATGTATATAATCAAATATATTTTTCAAATATATTGTATCTCTAACATATACTTTCTTTATTAATAGTATAATTCAGATTGGGAATTGTGGCTTGTAGAAAAAAAATCGGTGCGTTCAATTGCACTCTTCAACTAAGTTCGCAACTAACTATGATAACTTTTATCCGATAGCGATAGAGGTCAATTCGTGATGAAATTCATGAAACAAATGTGGGAGTACACCAAGAATTAAACACCCTTGTCAGGGATGGAGGAAGACAAAAGGTAACATTATTAATACTCTGAATTAGTCTTTTATCAATTGTGGATGCATATTTAAAATTTCAATTATTGTTCAGCAGAATTATGAAAATGCCGATGATGAGGAAGGGGAAGGTAGTAACAATAATGATAGCGTCAATAACGAGGAAGGCAGTAACAACAATAACGATAGCACCAATAACGAGAGAGGTAGTAACAATAATGATGGCACCAATAATGAGGAAGGTATTAAAAGCGACGAAGGTGCCGACAGCGGTAATATAAATGAGGAAGAATATTTAGATGAAAACAAGGTCCGCATCTTTTATTTGCAATGCATACGGATATGATAAGAAAAATATTAATTCGTTTTGTCTTATTATAGATAATCGTTTATGATATTCTTGATTGCGATATATCAGCATCTCAGGCTGAACTAGATATTCTAAAAATATATCGCTCAAAATTCAATAATTATCCTGCCATAGACCTCCGGCTACATTCAGAACTATCCCTTTCCTTAGATCAAGAATTGCAAGATAAAATTCTACATGAAGTTTTCGACGAAATAGACAAGGATTATATAACAGATGAAATACATAATTTTCTCACTGACTTTTTTAATGCTGATCACGGTAAACAAGGATGGCACGAATCAGTTCGGAGAATAATCATTAATGAAAAAGACTCGGAATTACTGCAAGATACAAAAGAACTGCTTAAGGGAACATTGGGACGATTGTAAGTAAGAAGTTTTAGAATAACCGCAACTCTTGTGAACGCGATGGGCCTATCCTGAGGGTTCTTCTCAGCATCGCTTCAGTGATGGGCTCCATGTGATTAGCGCTATA